GGCCAGGCCCACCACAAAAGCAGCCAAAAGGCCACGATAAAGGGACTGAGGGTTTGGAGAGTTGCAGCGTTGTGAGAGTTCTGAGAGTTGTTTGACTACGCAAACTTTTCTTCAGTTGAGAGTTTTCAGAGTTTGGACTTTTGCCAGACTTCAGAATGGCCAGGAAAGCCACCCTTGGCGGAGACAGTGCCAGGATTGACCACTTTACACTTTTCAGGAGCAATTGCGCGGTTCTCAACTGTCAGTTTTGCAGGATCCATGGGTGACAAAGAAGAGCAAACAGCAGGACATCCGCTGTCCAAGAGTTGCGGAGAGTTTTGAGAGTTTTTTTTTGAGAGCTCATATGCATACAAATATATGTTCCTGCAGGCGAGCTTGGGAGTCCGTGGAAATTCTTGTCGGGCCCGCTGTACGAGAGATACATTGGAGGCCTTGAGATATCAAGACTAGTGAAACGATGCCAGTTCTTGAATGTGTCCTGAAAATGTTGTGATGCTGGTGTGATTCAGATCCAAAGCCGGCTAAGCAACAGGGTGGAGAGCTTGGTGTTTGAAAAGTTCAGAGTGTATAGAGAGTTTTGAGAGCTGCACTACCTGGCATACTGACAATCTATTTTGAATGTGTTTGGTACTAAGATGTCGCTACACATGATGAAGCTCCAGGCCTGTCTAAATCAAGAACAAAAACAAAGCTAAGAGTTTTGAGAGTTTTGAGAGTTGAGAGTTGTTGAGAGTTTTGACAGTTGAGACTTACAATTTCAGTTGAAACAATAGTTTTGAGAGTGTTGTCCGCGAAGGTGATGGACCAAGGAAGCGGGAAGGGAAGGAGGAAGCGAAGCAGGAGGAAAGCAGTGGACTCAGAGTACATAGAGAGTTTTGAGAGCTTTGAGAGTTTTCCAACGAGCGCATGTTTGAGATTTTTGACAGTTGAACGATGCCAGTTATGTTGAAGCTTTGATTGGAGTTTTGGGAAGTGCGATAGTTGTGGGGCTGAGGCTCCAAGGCAGCAGTCCTCAATCCTGTGACCCCTCTGACTCCTCAAGGACATCCAGAAAGATTTTTCGTGTGGATAGATGCTAATCCAACGAGCGCATGTTTGAGAGTTTTGAGGTCAGTTATATTGAATTTCTTAGAGTTCTTGAATGTTTTCAGAAAATGGTATGATGCTGGCA